ACTAAACAAATGGGAGTTCACTCATCCACAGAAACTCTGGGGTGGGGGTGGGTGGACGACAGTGTAAGTGTAAGTAAAGCATAAACTGAAATGACATTTTTATACATTTGAGTTGGCTCAGTTGGTTAAGCATGTCTATTGCTGTGACAGTTCCAACCAACTTCTTTCATTTATAGTTAATTTCGGCATCATTGTTTGTCAATTTTGTAATTCAGTCTGTTAGTCTTAAGTACTCTTAAACTTAAGTCATTTGACATTTGTCACGATTTGTGAGGTTGTTTGAGTGTGAGCCTGGCAGTGGATTGTAAGGCGCCGCACCCACTAAATTGGAAATTTTATCACTTATTAGGGTTACCTTATGAAGAATATTATATATTATTCCAAATTTCTTCAAGAAAAATAAAACTCCAAAAGATGCAGCTGTCAAACCAGCAGGTAAAGCATAAAGTTGGACATTGGCACCAAACCGATCAAAGTTCGCCATTTTGCGTTCACTCCAGTCATGTGACCAAACCTAAAATAGAGAATATTTGGTTGATATCTATTTTTATAAAAGTTTCGCTTTAAAACTTGTTTGCATTTTTTTTAACTCATGTCAACAACTGCTGTAATTTTCTGGGCATACACATTAGTGTATAACTGAATCATCGGTCCTACTTAAAATAAATACATTTATTGAATCTCCAATCTTAAAATTTCTTTGAAACCCACAAAATTCCACATCTGGTGACCATCTTAAAAATGTGTTTATAATTTATTTCACCCATTCTTTGATTTTTTAAATCTTCAAACAACATACTTCAAACAACATACTTTCATTTTTTTTTCATTATTTCTTTGTAGGAATTCTTTGTGGTGTTTGTTTGTGAAATGTTTGTTTTGCTTCATAGTCAAATAATCATAAAGCTCAACCCACAATTTTTCTTCAAATATTAAAAGAAAATATTTGAAAACTTGAATTTTAATTTTTTTCTCCCCCCCCTCTATATCTCTTTATACATATATATAAGCATACTATATTATGTATAGTGTATAGGCTACACATACACACAAATAATTTGACCATACCTCGTAAGCAATCGTCTCTAAACTTCTCCTTTTCACTCTCTCTCTCTTTCTCTTCTCTCCCTCCACCTCCCCCCAACTTTTCGTCGTCTATATTTTGATTCTTGTTAAGTGCATGCAAAAAGTCATTTATACAACTATGCAGCAGTGCCACCCCTCCTACCCCACATAACCCAATTATCTTTTCTATGTGAACATTTAACCATAGCACCGATTTGGACCAAGGAACAACCTATCAAATAGCAGTAGTAAGTTACTAACACGTTTGTGCTGCGTGGCGAGCAGTTGGCAGTTGCATCGATCAAACTACGCTCTTTACATACACTTTATATCGTTGTTTTGTTGTGGCCGAAGAGAAAAGGTAAGACCTCTGTTAAAGTTTTTAAGTGCACAGAAAATATTTGCCGGTTAAAAATCATTTATAAGTTTTGATGACCTATTTGACCCTTATGTTTCAGTGTTAGAGATGGGGTGGGGGTGGTCAGGTAGTCTTGCTCCAACTAAACACAAGGGTCACAGACTGGCATCTCTGTTACGACTGGTTTGAGAGTATTAAATGCACTTTATTATCATCATGTGTTACAATTTTTGAACTCTGCAGTGAGTTTTTAACCAATAATTATGAATCGTAATCTTATAAGTAGGCCATTAGAAAAATTACATAATGATATTTGGGTTTTTCAAATTTTATGTTATTATTTAAGAAGCGAAAAGCCAGGAGGGGGGGGGGATAAACATGAGTAGGCTACTAAGGCCATTACAAAGTGAAACGGTATCACACTGACCGTGCGTCCTGAGAACAATGGGATAAGCAAAAGTGATGTCATAAATAACACTTAAAATGACATTGTGCAAAAGGCAGCAGTTTTTAACCACACCCCTCTCGTCACAAAATGTTAGACCCCCATTTTGATACAAGCTCCCACTAAAAAATGTACAATTTGAAACTAGGCCCACTTAAGATTCACATTTGTAATAACTTTAAATACTAGGACACTAGGATACTGTTTTGCTATTTTCTTTGCAGAGGCCGGGGGTGGGGTTCGTTCAAAAGGGGGCAAATTCGGACAGGTTTGGGGGGGGGGGGGTTGTAAGGGTCTT